CTACACTGCCTCGCCTTTGCGAGCATTCGAGAATGAGCTCGGTGTGCAAGCTCCGGTCGGATTCTGGGACCCGGCCGGGTTCACGGCAGATGGCAGCACCGAGAACTTTGCCCGACGTCGCCAGACGGAGCTGAAGCACGGAAGAATTTCCATGCTTGCCACTTGGTCAAAGTTCGGCATCATATTTCATTTGGTTGGTTTCAACAACATAGCATCGGAACAAATTGTATATTATGTCTTTACTTCTTAAGTTTGAGTTTGAACAAAGGCGACCATGGGCTACATCACCCCGGAGATCACTGGAAAATTCCCGGGCTATTTGAGCCCTTCCGCAGGCTTGAAGTTCGCGGATGTGCCCAACGGATTGGCGGCGATTTCCAAAGTCCCCGCTGCTGGGTGGGGACAAATCTTGGCTTACATGGCCTTCTGCGAGGTGTCCCAGGACCAGTCGGCGGGAACTCCTGCTGCGGCGGGTGACTTCGGATTCAAGGTGCTCACCGCGTCCGATCCAGAGGCCAAGAAAACCAAACTCGCAGCAGAGCTTGCGAACGGACGTCTGGCCATGATGGCCATCATCGGCATGTTCTTCCAGGCGGTGTTGGCAAAATTAGGCAACATGGTTGTTGTAGATTGTTGTATGTAATTCGTGGTCATGAGCGAATTCTTGTTTGGAAGAATCACCACCTGTTTCGGATACTTAGCGGGCACCCTGATGTAATGTGATTTGCCACCATGCGGTAGAACGTAGGGCGACAACGCCACATTCCACATTCGATACACACCATGATGCATGCATTATAGTTTTGCAGTAAGGCAGAGAGAGCGAGAGAAAGAGAGTTACGCCCTTAAGTCAACAGCAACAGTTGAAACCTTCATCGCGAATCAACAAGCCGGCAAGCAGTCAGTTTTTACCCAGGTCAATGCAATGTCAGCATTGACATTTGGTTACTTCCCTGCACTCAAGCAACTATCGCGCTCCTGTGCATGTGTCAATGCTGCGCAGTCGCTGTACTGGTAGGCATAGTACCTTAATTATGGGAGACGGGACACAGACGGTGGTCCTTGCATAGGCGGAGAGATGATTCTCACTCTCTTGCTTTGTCCTGTAACGTTGACTAAATGCATATGCAAGCGCTTGTGCAGGACGGCTTGACTGGCAGCGCCTGGGGCGACTGGGCAAACTACACTGCCTCGCCTTTGCGAGCATTCGAGAATGAGCTCGGTGTGCAAGCTCCGGTCGGATTCTGGGACCCGGCCGGGTTCACGGCAGATGGCAGCACCGAGAACTTTGCCCGACGTCGCCAGACGGAGCTGAAGCACGGAAGAATTTCCATGCTTGCCACTTGGTCAAAGTTCGGCATCATATTTCATTTGGTTGGTTTGTTTCAATAACATAGCATCGGAACAAATTGTATATTATATCTTTACTTCTTAAGTTTGAGTTTGAACAAAGGCGACCATGGGCTACATCACCCCGGAGATCACTGGAAAATTCCCGGGCTATCTGAGCCCTTCCGCAGGCTTGAAGTTCGCGGATGTGCCCAACGGATTGGCGGCGATTTCCAAAGTCCCCGCTGCTGGGTGGGGACAAATCTTGGCTTACATGGCCTTCTGCGAGGTGTCCCAGGACCAGTCGGCGGGAACTCCTGCTGCGGCGGGTGACTTCGGATTCAAGGTGCTCACCGCGTCCGATCCAGAGGCCAAGAAAACCAAACTCGCAGCAGAGCTTGCGAACGGACGTCTGGCCATGATGGCCATCATCGGCATGTTCTTCCAGGCGGTGTTGGCAAAATTAGGCAACATGGTTGTTGTAGATTGTTGTATGTAATTCGTGGTCATGAGCGAATTCTTGTTTGGAAGAATCACCACCTGTTTCGGATACTTAGCGGGCACCCTGATGTAATGTGATTTGCCACCATGCGGTAGAACGTAGGGCGACAACGCCACATTCCACATTCGATATACACCATGATGCATGCATTATAGTTTTGCAGTAAGGCAGAGAGAGCGAGAGAAAGAGAGTTACGCCCTTAAGTCAACAGCAACAGTTGAAACCTTCATCGCGAATCAACAAGCCGGCAAGCAGTCAGTTTTTACCCAGGTCAATGCAATGTCAGCATTGACATTTGGTTACTTCCCTGCACTCAAGCAACTATCGCGCTCCTGTGCATGTGTCAATGCTGCGCAGTCGCTGTGCTGGTAGGCATAGTACCTTAATTATGGGAGACGGGACACAGACGGTGGTCCTTGCATAGGCGGAGAGGTGATTCTCACTCTCTTGCTTTGTCCTGTAACGTTGACTAAATGCATATGCAAGCGCTTGTGCAGGACGGCTTGACTGGCAGCGCCTGGGGCGACTGGGCAAACTACACTGCCTCGCCTTTGCGAGCATTCGAGAATGAGCTCGGTGTGCAAGCTCCGGTCGGATTCTGGGACCCGGCCGGGTTCACGGCAGATGGCAGCACCGAGAACTTTGCCCGACGTCGCCAGACGGAGCTGA